GAGGGTGGACGGCTGGGAGCAAGACCTGTCGGTGCCCGAGTTCCCGGAAGGTGAGGGGCTGGCCTCGGTGTGGGGGCCGCGCCGGGACCTCCCCTTCCCCGGGCGAGGCGCGTGTGCGTGTGCGGGACGCGCGTGCTCCGCAGTCCCCCTTGTCCCCGAGCGGCGACGCGCACGGGGGGCTTCTGGAGGGCTGGGGCCTGCTGCTCGGGCCTGGTGTCAGCTGGGTAAAGACTCCGAGGATGTTCGTGGTCCGGGCCGGCAGTGAAGTCAATGCCCACCCCACTCTGTCCCTTCACTTGTTTCCCTGGAGCCTTCGTCCTCATCACGTCTCTGCAGCATCCTAGCTGAAGTTTACAGATCACTTTATAAGTGCCGCGCACAGTTCTAAACACCTCAGGGGATGTCTTGTTGTTTAACCCTTCCTACGACCCAGTGACGTGCTCTTGTTCGTCCTGTTTTACAGTTGAGGAAACTGAGGCACAAAGAGACTTAAACTTCCCAGCTGATATGTGGCAGAGTTGGATTACTACTTTCTGTAGCCCTCAGATCTTGCTGGTTTCTAGCTTTGCTAGTTTCTCCCATTCAGTATATTGAGAAATTTAAAATTTTAAAAATTTAATTTAAAAAATTTAAAAATCTTAATCATAGCGTGGGTTTAAATTCTGGCTGTGTGAGCTTTAAATAGATACTCCCAGAAGTGCACTTTGAAATGAAACCGTGCTTTACCTTCTTTGGTTGGAGTGGCATTGTTTTGCCTGGTAATGTTGGCTTGTGTCCTGGCGTGATACTGAAACCACATGTATAGTTAATTGGTTGGTGGTGGCAGGGTTCAGTTTTCTCATGGTAGGTATATCGGAACTTCCTCTGATAACAGACTTGGGTGTCCTTCCGAGCCTTTTGCACTTGCCTTGAGAAGTCCTTATTTTTTCTGTTGCCAATCTTATACAGGATATGAAATATTGAGGAATCCTTAACCCCCCCAAAAAAGGCGGGGGTGTGTGAATGTTTTATATATATATTTATATATATACTTTTATGTGTGTGTGTGTGTATATATATATATATCTATTTAATACATTGCACTATTACAAACAAGCAGGCCACCAGCTAGTTTTCGGCAGTCTAGGTGGTTTCAGACTTCTACTAGCAGTCTTGGAACATATATAACATGGATAAGGGAGGACTAATGAATTTACTTGCTCCGCCCAACTCTAGGTTTCAGTTACTATGAAATATTTCTAAATTCCTACTTCGAGGTATGATAAAATTTTTTAATAGCTACATGTATTATAAGCAATAAACTTCATTTTTGTAAGTTGTTTAGGGATGCTGTTCTTTTAATATTTAACAAAATCTTCATAATACAGAGTTAAAATTTTGACTCATAGTCAAGTAATTATAAATTCTGATTTACAAAAGTACAGATTAATGAGATCCTATTTTTCTTTGGAGAGAAGGGAACACATTCTTCATCAATATTAATGTTGCCTTGGATTTTGCATTTAAAATATTTTGTATTTAGAGTTTCATCTAACTCCACAATATTTCAGCTTCTTTTATATGAAATTGGCTTAGGCACTTTATGTGTTTAATTTTTTTTTTCAGCTTTAATTGAGTTTATTGGTACATTTTAGGGATACAGTACAGTTACATTCATTGTTGGGATCTTGTACCTCTACATGACAAGTCGGTTCTCATTTTTTCTCCTTGTCCCTGCCCTCCCTTCACCCCCTCTTCTCCTCCCCATCTTAAATTTTTTTTTAATTTAGCTATGTCTTAATACTTTTAAGCTCGACTTTTATTCTCAATACCCTATTTTACCTAGTTGTGTAATTACTTAATATTTGATATTTCCTGCTGTTTGCCTGAATATGTTGGTTTCACCCCTTTTCACACACCAACTATTACACTAGCTGTGAAAGAATTTAGTAGCTTTTCCTTGCTGTATGTGTAGACTGCCTCATAAAAGCAGCTTTCCCATCTTTTCTCCTTCCTATTGTCCCTCCCATCACCCTTTCTTTTTATCTTCCCTCTTGGAACCTGTAACCTCTACAGATGTGGCTTTTTGGTCTTTTCCTTCACGTCACAGTTACCTATTTAATTATGATGATGAAGATACATCATGCCTTTAATTTTGTTTATGTATTGATTAAAAAGGCCAGGTTTTTTGGGGTGGGTTTGTTTGTTTGTTTTTGTACCATCAAACTCGGGATCTTGCACTTGTAAGGCAGGCAGCAGAACCGCTGAGCTAAATCCCTGGCAAGGCCAGTTCTTATAATTGAAATAAACTACCACAGACTTTAGTGCTTAAGGTGTTGCACTGTTTCCAGTAGTACTAGAAAGAACAAAGATTGTAATGGAAAGTTTTAGGTTAAATTGTCTCTGTCTTTACCCTTAATCATTGTAATTTATTTTGTATAAATTTCAGAGTTAGAATGGCTGAACACAGAAGAGCCTATCTCTGTCTACAAGGACCTATGTGGAAAAGTGGTCATCCTTGATTTCTTCAGCTACTGCTGCATAAACTGTATCCACCTGTTGCCTGATCTCCATGAGTTAGAACACACATACTCTGATAAAGGTATCTGCTTTTTGATTAGTTTCTAAAAGACTGTCATGGTTTAGGCAGTGGAAGAATAGCTGGCTCATTTGCTCATAGAAGATTGAGCATTGGCAAGACTTCAGTGATTCTAAAAAGAAATCTCTAATCTATAAATAAGGATTTAGTGTACCTTTGCATGAAGGGTTAAATTTAGGTTTGTTTAGCTAAGTTACCTGAAGTTAGGACAAGGTTTACTGAGAAGGTAAAGTCATGAATTACTTTTTTCATGATCAGGTATTTTAAAAGATCTTTTGTATTACTGCTGTTACCTAAATTTGTTCTATGGAGAAAAAAACACAAAGAAATATCTGACCCAAATTTTATATTCTTACTGTGAAATGAAGGTTTAAAGTTATTAGGAAATATGATTAAGCTTTCATTAAAATTGATATGAACTACAGTACAGTGCAATGTATTATAAGAGATACTTTTTTCTTTGACTTTGGTTCATTAAAAAAAAGACTTCCTGAGCTGGGAATTTAGCTCAGTGGTTCAGCTGCCTGCCTCTCAAGTGCAAGGGTGGGAGTTCCATCCCCAGTACCAAACAAAACAAAACAAACAAACAAAAAAGTCACTGTAACTATTTTCCAGAGCACACTGGAGAATCCTTTTATGGTACTATGGATTCTGGAGTTGCAAGAGATTATATTTAGTATTTATTTTAGAAGTTTGAAAAATTACTAGATTTTTCTTTTTTCTGAAAAGTAGCGGAGTAAATGAAGTTTAAATTAATTGAATTTCTATTCTTGGACTAGAGACAAATAGGTAAGGTCACTGATTCTGTAATGGAAAGGATGGGATGGAATCGGGTCTCAGCCTGTAATCCCAGTGCTCCAGGATACTGAGGTGGGAGGTTCAAGTTCAGCTTGAGCAACTTCACAGTACCTTCTCTCAAAATAGAAAATAAAAAATAAAAAAGGGGTAAGGATATAGCTCCATGTGAAGTCCTACATCAGTTCTCAGTACTGCAAAATTAAAAAAAAATTGGGGATAGTCTGTACATGTACCAAGAAAAGAATATCTTGAAAGCTAATTTTAAAAAAAAGGATAGATAAACTCTAAGGGGCAAGTGAAACTTCAGGTGCTTTTAAAATGTAATAGATTGTACAATATCTTAAAATTGCCAGGCATAAGATTTGTTAAGAACTCAAATACTTCAGTAACTGAATCATGTTTTTTTAAAAATTCATCTGTATCAATTTAAGAATTGTATCTTATTATTCCCTGGGGTGTTAGAAATCTGTATTTCTTACTCAAACTAGCACATTTATTGAATATCTATTATGTGCAGGTTACTCTGTTAATTGTGTGACAATACATAACACAGTTGAATAAAAATAATAACTCACCTACAAATACTGGGAAAGATTTCTTGGGGAAAGAAAACTAGTTTAGTTCTACTCTGAGAAAAGAGTAGTATAGACTTCTCTAATGAGGATGTAGCTGCTGAAGGTTGTTTTTGACTTGTTTTTTAATAGGAGGATGACATAATACAGATTTGTTTAAGTGAGAAACTATAGGAAGTTAACCATTTCCTTACCGAAGATTACTCCTTAGTGAATATTTGGTTAACTTAATTGGTTAACCCCACATGTGAAGCAAATTCAGTGACTTCGTTGAATGGATCCTTTTACTCACCTACCAGTTTATTGAAAATTATGTTTTATAGTATTGTAATAAAAATAAATATTTTTTCCTGCAAACATTCTGAAAGTAAAATGCTATGTAAATAGAAACAGGGTTCTGGGAAGATGGAGGCATAAGAAACAATAGGAATCTGTGCCTATCTAGATAGCAGTTACATTGGCAGTCTCTATCTGATTTGGAGCTCTGGAACGTACAAAGGGATTGGACTGTATAAGGTTCTTTAATTTTGATCAGTTTCAGCTTTTAGCACAGCACAGCTAGCCAGCCCTCAGCCTATTCCAAGGAGCAGTTGCATATTCCTGGAGCAGTTTACTGTCTGGGCAAAAGGTCTTCATCCTCCAGGTGCAGAGATCTGTTCTCTGATCATTGATTGTTCCTCCCGATCACAGAAGTACGGGGGAAGACAGTGATCCTTGCTGTTGTACCTTTCCATATTGTTGAAAGCCGCATCTCTTTCAGCTGAAGTAACTTCCAGGAGATTTTAAGAGTTGGTGCCTTTTTAGGCCGGGCGTGGTGGCGCACACCTGTAATCCCAGCACTTGGGAGTCTGAGGCAGGAGGATCACAGTGAGTTCGAGACCAGCCTGGACTACATAGTGAGTTCCAGGTCACTCTCACTACATAGTGAGACCCTGTCTCAAAAAACGAA